GCAGTGGATGGGGGGAGGGGGGTTGTTACTTTGTGAGGGTGAAAAGGGTAACTATTGCATTGTTCTGTACACCTGAAACTAACAATAAAAAAAAAAAAGAAAGAGAAAGGGAAAAATAAAAAGACAAAGAGAAAGAAAGAGAAAGACTCCAAAAAAACCTTATCCCGCTAGGCAAAGAATCTGGGAATCAGGTGTCTAATCAGACAGAATCTTTTTGACAACCTCCGTCCCCAACACCACATGCTGATAGAATCGCTTAATTGCACCCTTATCCAAGGGTTTCAGTCTTGATGAGCAGGGATCTAGTCTCCATCCTTTCCTGACAGAAGGTAGTGCCCTCACGGCCCACCTGAGGAGTGTCAGTGTGTAAAATGAAAAGCTTAGCATCCATTCCGTCACACTCAACAAGCCTGAGCCATCAGAACTACCCTGGGCATGTTCGCACTCCAGTTATTCCATCCATGATTCAGACCCCACTGGGAGATGAACTTGAACCCCATCCCTCTGAAATGAGACTGAATGAGATGATACAAGTCAGAGGAAGTCTGCACTCCTGCGCCCCCTGCTGGTGACTGTGGGACCAAGTGAGAGCTGAGCCTTCAAGCTCCCCAGCTGGCATTAACAGCACTGAATAAAGGACAGGAGGCAGGGGACCTCCTGCTGCAGTGGCCCCGTCTCTTCCCCAGAGTCAGTGAGGCCGAAGGGCCCAATGGAGAGCTGAGCACCCACCCCCACTGCAGCCCAGCAGTTCCACAAGCCCTGTGCTTCCCTCTCTGTAGGCAGCTGGTCCCAGCAGGTGTCTTATTTCACACCTCTACTTCATGAGAATCAGCTGTTGGCAATCACTCCTCCACTTTCCCATGAAGACATCAGCAGCACAGAGCACTGGGAGTCAGTGCTAAACCTTTGCTGGGACCAGTGGGAACTGAATATATGGCCCTGACCTAGTGCTGCAGCTAACAGGAGGAGTAAATGGAACCAGAGTGCCCTAGTGTAATTTCCAAAAAGTCCAGAATTCTGTGAAAATACATCACGTGTCATACCAAGAACCAAGGAAATCTAAACTTGAACATGAAAAGAGTATCTGTTGATATCAACACAGACATGTCTCAGATGATGAAATTATGTGACAGATATTTTCAGGCAACAATCATAAAATCCATTTGACAAGCAACTACACACACTTTTGGAAGCAATGGAATAAGAGAGGAACTCAGAATAGAAAGAGAAGTCATAAAAAAATCAAATGGTAATGTAGAACTGAAAAATACAATAGATGAAATTTAGAAAGAAACTTTTTTGGAGAGATCAAAAATGCGTACTACACCTGAAATCTATGTAACTTTACTAACAATTGTCACCCCAATAAACTTTAACTAAAAAATTACATAAGCTTATTGATTATTTTATTTACTTGCTCGTTATATGTTGATTATTTGTTGAAATACAGGTTGAGTGATAGTTTGTCGAACTAGTAAAAGGACCATCATTCCTTCTGCAGTTCCCACCTCCATGAATATTCTCTTGAGTACCTCACCATGGGGCACTGTTGATAGTCTCACTGCAGCAAGGCCTGAAACCCACTCAAATGATTCTAATTGAATGGGCCCTGTGCCCATGCTCATGACCTGAGTTAGAGGTCACAGCAGGTGCTTCCTCTCAAGGGACAGACTCAGAGCTCACAGGAATTCACAACCACTACAGCCTCCTCCTGAGATTGAAGCAACAAACTGGGCTGAGGACACAGAATTGGATGGTACTGTGGGCTCATATTTGCAAAATGTCCCTCCAAGCACACCCTTTACACAGGGAGTTGAAGGGGAGATAAAAGGACACCCCAGAGACCAGCACCAGCATGAGTCAGGGGACCCTGAAAAGTCTTCACCATGACCTGGACTCCTCTCCTCCTCCTCCCCCTCCTCACTCACTGCCCAGGTTCATGGACATTTCAGAGACCAGCCTCTGGAGGGATCCGTCTGCCTTTATTCTTCACTCCTGACATGTATCTGTTTTCATTTCAGGGTCCAATTCTCAGGCTGTGGTGACTCAGGAGCCCTCACTGACTGTGTCCCCAGGAGACACAATCATTCTCACCTGTGGCTGCAGCACTGGGGCAGTCACCAATGGTCAGTATACACATTTGTTACAGCAGAAGTGTGGCCAAGTCCCCAGGATACTGATTTATGATAAAAACAATAAACACTCCTGGACCACTGCCCAGTTCTCAGACTCCATCACTGGGGGCAAAGCTGCCCTGACATTCTCGGGGGCCCAGCGAGAGGAAGAAGCTGAGTACTTACCATTGCTGTCTGTTGTACAGTGGTGCTCGGCACAGTGAGAGACCCAGATGGAGACCCAGGACATAAACCTTTGGTTGATCAAGGATGTGTACAAATATGATCCTGTGATATTGGCATCATATAACCGGACACCTGAGCTCTCAGCACAGCCTAAATGTTCACCATCCACAAAGAGAAGGTGAAGGGAACGGTCTGAATTGATTCCATTCCTGTTTGAGTCCTAAAATGGGGAAAATTTATGAGCAACTTTGGAGGAACTAGTCCACAAAAAGCAGAGTTCAATTATTTTATTTTACAGAAGGAATAAGATCTGCTGGCTCAAAACTGGGGATTAAGGTCAAACACATTTCCTGGAGAAAAAAAGCAACACGAATATTCTTTGCCAGCTATGGGTAGAGGGAAGAAACCCCCCTTTTGCATATTACTGAAGTTTACCTTATTAGGGT